TTCCATTTTATTACTCAGCTGGGTGCTGTGTTGTTTCATTTCAAATACGGCGCACAAAAGACAGGACTGAAGGTAAACATACCATTCGCAGATATCGGAATTGTAACTGAAGAGTGACGGGAATACGTGTGTCTGATCAAGATAGATAACAGGTCGTTTTAGCCTGGAAGAATCCGGATTTTCTGGGCTGTGTATGTAGCTTGTCCACATTTAAATCACGATGGTAGATGAGCCTTTGCTTCCAGTGACTGAAGAGAATGCATATGAGTCGGGATCTCAACGTAAAGGGTAATTATGTTTTCAAACGTATGTTTTTGCGTCCCCATAGCGTAGTTTTTCTCACCTTCAGCTTAGGCACATGCTCAATTCCCATTGTTCCATGCAAGCAAAACATGTGAAAATAGTAAATGTGCTCACTTAACCCATAGTTGTGAGTCACATGCAAGTAAAAGGGCAGGATTTGGTGTACAGGACTGCCCTGATCTGCCCGGCCTACTACTTCATTGACCTAGGACACAAGGACCTTTGTTTTGTTTTGCAAAACAAGCCTATGGGCAGTGTTTTCTTCTACCATTATTGCAATACATTGGTGAGGAATGAAAGTTACCTAACAACTTGATAAAAGCAAGAATGACATTAATTTATTGGCTTTTCAGCATTATGAGTTTAGAATTGGCACAGCATGTGTCATCCTCATTACAAATTTGCAGATTAACCACCCTTTTTTGTGCAGCCAAATGCATAGGACTGTATCTTGGGCTGTCTGGATGTGTAATCTTGTGTCTGGTATCTGGTATCTGGATGAGTAAGCTTGGATGGGTCATGATTTACCATCTTTTACAGACATTGTGTGCACAGATTTCCAATCATCACATTTTATAGACTCACATGTCCTAGCTCTTAATGTATTTTCCATTATCATTGTTCACTTATCACAAGCACAGCTTGAAGTGCTGAGCATTATTATTGTAGGAAATGTTTACCTGGTCTTGTTAAACGTAGCTTCCAATATATTGAAGGGTGATAACTGTCAGCATAAGATCCCGGACTCATAAGTAAGTGAAAGACAGCTATTCAAAGTTAGCAGCAACACAATTTAATGCTGAACGGAACATTCTGTGCAGAGACATGTCAGAACAGAATCAGAGATGTCTATGCTTATTTGTTGTGTATTAGACTATGCACAGTGGTGTGGAAGATATATGAAGTATTTTGTATTCTTTCTTAATGTCAAAAGTAATGCTGCCACATTTTTTACATTCCAGTTCTAGTTCCAGTTGACTTCCATACTAGCAGTGCTCCTAAGCATGGTATGCTCATTGTTTCCCTAATATACTATGGTGTAGATTTTAAATATTGTGAATGCTAACATGTGATTTTTGCACAGAACCTCTACAGAACTAGCTCTGAAGATATGCATGGTTTATGCCTGTGGTACAGTGTATGCTGCCAGGACTGTAATACCTCTGGTAGTTCCGGAGGTTGCCAAGGAATTAGAATGGAGCAGCATTCTTGTTGGTTATGTCCTCTCTTTTTCTTCTGGGGATATGCACTCACTCAGGTAAGATTTTGTTTTTTTTGTGTTAACAACCTCTCTTAAGACTGAGACATGCTGCTTGCTGTTAGATCATCTTTAGTGTCTGGCAAGAGGCATTATTGGCTGGGCAGGGCCTGAATATGTATGCCCTTTTGGGGGCCATGTTATAGAATGTGTTTTTGCCCTTGAGCTGCCCTAGTTCCTCCATAAAATGTCTTGCAGCTGCCTTTCTTTATCAGAAAATTTTAAGTACTTTTAAGTACTTTTAAGTACTTTAAGTACTTTTAAGACTTGAGGCACAACAGAGCCCATCACCATTTAGAGAGTCATGTTTTTTTCTATAGTGATGTTCAGAAATAAAGCAGTTTTGTGCGGGTTTGAGGTGCAGGGATACACACATCAGTTGTGGTGCTCTGTCATGCTCCATCTTAACCACACATTACATTGTGACACTGCTTGCTGCTGCTCCTCCAGGTGCTTGGAGGCCTGATGGCTGACCGGGTGGGTGGTGCTCGCATCATGGTGGCCATGTCGACAGTAGGTGCCGTCAGCCTGCTGCTCTTCCCACCGCTGGTCTCCATCTGGCCACAGGCTGCCATCCTGCTCCGCTGCCTGCTTGGCCTGGTCCAGGTCAGTGTCTCGTCCAGGTCAAGAACCTGTCCAGGTCAGTGCCTCATTCAGGTTAGTGTCCTGTCCAGGCCAATGTCTCATCCAAGTCAGTGTCTTCTCCAGGTCAGTGTCTCATGCAGGTTAATGTCCATCCAGGTCAGGGCACATCCAGGACCTCGTGCAGGACGCAGGACCGTCGGTCTGGGACGTCGTCCAGGCCTGCACACCAGTGCCCTTTTCTAGTTTGCATGCCAATTTATTTGGTATTGCTCAATAAATCTTGGGTACACAATGGCCTATTTCGCCTTGGAAACGAACGCATTTTCTCCAGTATGCTCAGCGGCTGTTGTATCCCTGTTATGTGTGCAGTTCTCGCACTACCCTGGCTGTGTTGTGCGCGGCGCTCTGTCTGTCCATGTTCATCCCTGTGGGTGCACCACTGCCCCTGCTGCACATCCATGTATTCACGTATTCGGGCACTCCTTAAACTCCAAACATCGCTACTTATTACTGTTGTGTCTGCAGGGTCCCCACTGCTCCTGTGATGTCTGCAAAACCCTTACTTCTGTAGTTATGATGGCAGTACCGTCACCACCCCCGTTACATCCCTGCGCCGTCCCGCCCCTGTCACGTCCGCGGGGCTGTGCTCGCCCCTCTCGTGTTCGTGGGGTCGTCCCCGCCCCTGTCATGTCCGCAGCGCCGTCACCACCCCCCGCCTCCGGCAGGGCCCTCACTACCCGAGCCTGGGCAGCCTGAGCAGTCAGCTGGTGCCGGCGCCGCGTCGTCCGCTGTTCTTCAGCACGGCCTTGCTGGCTCGCCGCCGCTCGGCACCATCCTGGTCGGTCTGGTGGGCTCCGTTCTGCTGGAGGGGCTCGGCTGGCGGGCCGTCGTCACGCTCACTGGTGAGAGAGTTCTCACCAGCGACAGGGCGCATACTGGTGAGAGAGCTTCTCACCAGCGAGAGGGCTCTCCACCGCTGCTTTCTTTGCTTGTGCGCCCATTACAACAACACTGTCTGCCTGAAGTTGGGTATGGCCGTACTCCGTTTAACGGCGTCACGGAGATGTGCCTGTACTCCGTGTAACGGCATCACAGGGGTGTGCCTGTACTTCGTCTAACGGCATCGCAGGGTGTGCCTGTACTCCCTGTAACGGCATCACAGGGGTGTGCCTGTACTCCATTAAACGGCATCACGGGGGTGCCTGTACTTCGTGTAACGGCATCACAGGGGCATGCCTGTAACGGCGTCGCAGGGGTGTGCTTGTACTCCGTTAAACGGCATCACAGGGTGTGTGCCTGCACTCCGTGTAACGGCATCACAGGGGTGTGCCTGTACTCCGTTAAACGGCATCACAGGGGTGTGCCTGTACTTCGTCGAACGGCATCACAGGGGCGTGCCTGTACTCCCTGTAACGGCGTCGCTGGGGTGTCGCCGCCAGGCCTGCTGTACGCCAGTTCGGCGCTCTGGCTGTACGTGCTGACGCGGGGCCAGGGCGTCCCGGCCAGCGGCCGCCGGCGCGTCCGCGGCTGTGCCCTGGCGTGGCCTGCTCTCCAGCGGGCGGGTCTGGTGAGCCGACCTCCCCTTGCCCCCCCCCCCTCGCGTGGTCCACTGTGTCCGTCCCACTGCACTCAACCGCGCTCCCGTCGTGAAAAGCAGTGGGGTGGGGGTTGACCACGACTGGTGGTCAGGAGCTCCTGGTTTGGTTCGGTGTAGCCTGCGTTGAGTCTGTCGTAGCTGTGGCGGCCGCTTCGCTACAGATGGCCGCGTGTTGTCGTAGTGGCTGTATACTGTCGCCACCCCTGCACGCTCCTCTCCCGCGTCGTCTGGCGCTCAATCCACCCATGTTTCATCACGTGCGCGGACCACACGCCCGCGTCCCCCGCAAGTTGGCCGGTGCTTGTCCCCGTAGCGCGCGCGGCACTCCGCCGGGTGCGGCGCGTGCCCTCCCCAGCCGGAGGGCCGACGGCCGCGGCCCGCGCTGCCCAGCGACTGAGTGCCGTCCGCCGCCGCCAGGGCTGTATTCTGGCGCACATGTCGCACACCACCGCCCGGTTCCTGCTCATCTCCTGGCTGCCGTCAGGGCGTGTATCCTGGCTCACATGTCGCACACCACCGCCCGGTTCCTGCTCATCTCCTGGCTGCCGTCAGGGCGTGTATCCTGGCGCACATGTCGCACACCACCGCCTGGTTTCCTGCTCATCTCCTGGCTGCCGTCGTACTTTCAACGCGTCCACCCGCAGGCCGGAGGTAATCAGCGGTTGCGTCCACCGGTTGGCGTTGGTATTCGGGGGTAGTGTGCACGTGCTGGCTCCGAGGCGATCGGGGGCAACAGCGGTGGCAGGAGTAGTTGGGCGCGCAGTCTGCAGTGGTTGGTGCGTGCGCCTCTGACCAGGGTAATTGGGGTAGCGTGCATGTGCTTGCAGAGGTAATGGGAGTTGTGTTCCCTCGTTTGTGGATGTATGGTGCTGCTGCCTGCCGTGCGGCTTTCGGGTTCGTTTTAGGTCAGGTCAGGTCAGGTCCTATCTGATTCAGCCGCGAAAAAATGCTGCGACGTGCAGAGATTGCAAATGAACTGATGGTCGCATGCATCGATGAACTGTAGCCTGTTTTCGCTGTCCGTTGTGTGTTCACTGTCACTCTGTTGTCATGCATGCTCAGCTCGTCGTGGCATTTTGTCGAGGAGGTCCAATGCCTCGCAATCTTAAGTTGTGGAGTGCATTTGCGAGGTTCATTCTGCGTATAGATGAAACAGCATTAATTACATTATTCCTCGTAGAATTAGCAGGGGAATGGAGAGACATGTGCGATATTTCACTTGCATGCCTTTATCGAAACGAATGTTTCGTTTTGATAACGGCATGTAGCCGAAATATGACACTTATCTCTCCATTCTCCGGTTTATTCGACAAGGATTAAGGCTACTAATACGGTCGCCTCGTGATCCAATCAAACAAGCCTTCACTTTCTCTCCTCGGGTAAAGTTTTAATATTTCTTTTGATTTGGTGTGACGTCCTGTACAATGTTTTCCTCATTTCATGTGTGGGCTTTATCGAAATCCTCGGCTGTTGAAGCGCGTTGCCTGTCCGAGTTTGGCTCCCCTTTGACCCCAGGGTGACCTGACACCCTGCACTGGCAGCCTTCCGATGCGCGGGGTCCTGGGTGTCCCTGACACCCTAGCTTGGCCCGAATAACTGGTCGGTGCACTTAACCACTCTTTCCCCGGTATCACGATGCCCCTCTTCCGGTGTACCCCCGACTCCCCATCCCGGTGCCGGCACGACTACACTTCCGCGCTCATTACCTAACCTGGTCCAGGGTGCCACACACGACCGTCCCAGCTGGCCACCTGACACCACTTTTGGGGCCGTCCACAATTACACCCCATCCCGGCGTCCACCTGGACGCCCACGCTGCCGGGTGGCAAGGGCTGGCTGGCTGAACACGCTTGCCGTCCGTGTTGAACGGCGCCGGCACGATGACGTCCGTGCCGCTGGCCGCCTGGCTGCTGCGGACACCAGTTCAGCGTCACCGCCACCCGCAAGCTCGTCGAGGTCGGGTCGCAGCTGATTTGCCGGCGGCCGCGTGCTCGCGCTGCGTGAGTGCTGCGCCGCGGCCGCGCGAGGGCGCGCGAATGGAGAAGGAGCTCGCCGTGGCGCAGGCACCCGTCCCCAGAACAGGGGTCTGCCTGTGTTGGGGTCGTAGTACTGGCCTAGGGATAGGGATCTGCCTTTGTCGGGGCCGTAGCACTAGCTTAGGGATAGGGATCTGCCTGTGTTGGGGTCGTAGTACTGGCCCAGGGATAGGGATCTGCGTGTGTCGGGGCCGTAGCACTGGTCTAGGATAGGGATCTGCCTGTGTTTGGGCCGCGGGACTGGCCGAAATAGCAGCTCCAGAACAGAAAACCGTGGAGGGTGGTTGGGTTCGAGGCTCTTCAGCGTCCGCTGTTTTTCCGCTGACGGGGGTGGCTTGTGGCTGGTGGCAGCAGCCGCTGACAGCTTCATGACCCGTCGCTCTCTGTGCCCCGCCCCCTCCCCCTTCCTCCTCCCCTCTCCCTCCCCCGTTCCGTGCCGACTCAGGCTTCGACTGTAGCGGCTCGGTGCTGACGTGACCTGTCATGTGACGTCACGCGGCCTGGTGACCTTAAGTCTGACCTGACCTGTGCCCGGCCGCCGCCGCCAGCGCGCGTCAGCTCCAGCGCCGCCGCTGTGCTGTTGACGTCGCTGTCGGCCGGCGCCGTGTCGCTGCACGCCAACGGAGGCCTGGCGCTGCCGCAGGACCTCTGTCCGCAGCACGTGGGCGCCCTGTTCGGCCTCATGAACACCGGTGGAGCCCTGGCAGGTAGTGGCTAGTTCCTCACCGACGAGGGCGTATGCCGGACGGCACGGTGGGGAATGCGAGGGGCGGGGGGGGGGGAGGAGGTACAACTGAAGGGTTTTCACCGAAACCCGAGTGTAGCGCGCCGCAGGCTGCTGAAGTTTCTGGTGTGTGTTCTTAAGTAGTGTCGCATGTTCGCGATCTTCTTATTTGAACCCGTGACGACCCGTGACGCCCTGATTAGAAAAAGAATCATGTTTTCCATGTATGTCAACGTTGTCTTTCGTATATATTAATGTGCGTCATAATTTCTGTAGAGAAGGGGGGGGGGGGGTTGTCGTGCCCTTTGGAAGCTACTGTGTGCATAAGACCCTGTTAACCAACATAATTATCCCATCGACCTGAGACTATGCGGTCTCTAGCGGACGCAAAATGACCACGTAGTCGCCGCATTAGCACTAACGTCATCACCTTCACCCACTATCATCACCATCCACCGCCGGGAGGCTGTGCTGGCCGTTTGATGTCGCGCTGCGCCCCCCGCGCCGTTACACTGTGGTGGCTTCACGCGGCGTTAGTGTGAGCCGGCGCCGGCAGCGGCCCGGTCGTAACCCGGCGCCGGCGGCCCGGGCACCACCGGTCGTGACCCGGCACCCGCCGGCGGCCCGGACACCACCGGTCGTGACCCGGCACCCCGCCGGCGGCCCGGACACCACCGGTCGTGACCCGGCGCCGGCGGCCCGGACACCACCGGCCGTGACCCGGCGCGTCCGCCGCAGGCTTTCTCTCCAACCTGGCGGCCGGCTACCTGCTGGAGCTGCACGGCGACTTCGAGGCGGTGTTCCACATGGTGGGCGGCCTGGCACTGGCCGGGGCTCTGGTGTTCGCCGTCTTCGGCTCGGCCGAGCGGCTCAAGCTCTGATCAGTCTGCAGCCGTGATCAGTCTGCAGCCGTGATCAGTCTGCTGCCGTGATCAGTCTGCAGCCGTGATCAGTTTGCAGCCGTGGCCAGTCTGCAGCCGTGATCAGTCTGCAGCCGTGATCAGCTTGCAGCCGTGGCCAGTCTGCAGCCGTGATCAGTCTGCAGCCGTGATCAGTTTGCAGCCGTGGCCAGTCTGCAGCCGTGGTCAGTCCGCAGCCGTGATCAGTCTGCAGGTGTGATCAGTCTACAGCTGTGCTCAGTCTGCAGACGCGGCACTCCACCAGCGATCCCCTCCCGTCGTGCACCGCTGTCATTCCCCGCGTGGTCTCACGCTGCCGCGATCCCGGCGGACGGGGCATATGACCACCTCAAAGCCTCGCGCGCGGGTTCCAATGTAGGCTCCTTGCCGTGGAGAGTTTTCCGTCCGACAGAAGTGCTTCTGAGACGTGCCTCAGTGGTCTATATCTAGCTATTGTTACACAACGGGTGTGTTCGACCTGGGCGGTTATGTGCGTGGGTGTGGTAGGGGTGGGACGCTCTGTGGTGATGTGGGTGGCATGGGTTTGGGACGTTCTGTGATGCTGTGAGTGGCATGGGTTTGGGACGTTCTGTGATGATGTGAGTGGCATGGGTTTGGGACGTTCTGTGATGCTGTGAGTGGCATGGGTTTGGGACGTTCTGTGATGCTGTGAGTGACATGGGCTTGGGACGTTTCACGATGTGCGAGATTCGTGTTCAGAGCGCGTGATTTCACAGTCTTGTTTCGAGCGTGACGCATTGGGATGTGACGCTTGCGACGATGACTGCGGCTTTGGCCGGGTTCCCCCGGGGACCAGGACCGGGAGTTCTGCCGAGGACCAGGAGTCGCGCCCGAAGCTCTCCGCGGACCGCTGTCTCCTGGGCTCCGCGGGTCTCCGATCACCGTTGCTGACGTCACGGACACCAGCTGGCGCCAAGCCGTGTCATCCTGAAATGTTCTAGTCAGCCCCCGGGTCAGACTGCGCACAGGCCATTGGCCGCAAGGCGCCGCGCTCGGCTGTGTCAGTGGTGGTGGAACCGTCGCGTTCAAGACGCGCCCATAGATGTGAACAGTGTGTGTCTTGCCGCAATTGTGCGACGCTTCGGGTGCTTTTTCTATTGGAACGAACAAGGTTAGGGTAGAATACAAGCATCTTATTGTGTCGATGTTTCTGGTTGTTTGTCTCTGTATTTGCGCGTACCGTAGATAGGCTACACCAACATGGTTGTACATCCGCTGGGCGTTGTGGCCGTTCGATTCGCTCGGCTTTTCGCGAGGCTGCACGGTATTGTATCTCGTACCCTCGCATTGGTCCGAAACCCGTTCCTGCCTTCGTTTCACTAACTTTCCAATGTCGCAGCGCGCTCGTGCTAAACGCGGCATGAACGACGTCCAGACAGGATGAAGCTGAGCCGTGATGTTCGCAACATGCCTCAAAGCACACGTCCGGAGACAGCAGGACGCCAGCTGTCCCGCTCGCTGCAGACTCAGCTGCTCTTACGCATCCACCCAGCGTTATCCAGCGCCCGCCACCCGCACCAAAAATAGAGCTGAAGGACACGTCGCGCTTCCTCCTCATACACCTTAACAACGCTGCAGCGCTCGCGCCTCTGACGTTCTCCGAAGCATGGTCATCGCGCCTGCTCGCCGCGCCGCGGGGCGTCGCCGGCTGACCCCGCAGCGCACATTACTGTGACCTACGCGTGCTGAGAGTCGCCGTCGACGCGTCTAGATCTGCTCCGGCTCGCGCTGGAGCACTATGCTGCTGGCCGGCGAGTCGCGGTCCGGCGACTCGTCCTCCCTGCGGCGAAGCAGCGGGGCGTCAGTGGCGCGGGGCGGCGTTAGTGGCGCGGAGCGACGTTCGTTAGCGACGCGGAGCGACGTCAGTGGCGCGGAGCGGCGTTGGCGACGCGGAGCGGCGTCAGTGGCGCGGAGCGGCGTTGGTGACGCGGAGCGGCGTCAGTGGCGCGGAACGGTGTTGGTGACGCGGAGCGGCGTTAGTGGCGCGGAGTTGCATCAGCGGCGCGAAGCGGCGTCAGTGGCGTCGGTGGCGAGGGGCGGCGTTAGTGGCGCACAACAGCGTCATTGTCGGGAGCGCGTCAGTGGCGCAAGGCGGCGTCAGTGGCGCGGAGCGGTATCAGTGGCGCGGAACGGTGTTAGCGGTGCGAAGCGGTATCAGTGGCGCACAGCGGTGTCATTGGCGCGGGATGGTGTCAGAGGCGCGGAGCGGTGTCAGCGACGCGGAGCGGTGTCAGTGGCGCGGAGCGACGTTAATGGCGCGGAGCGCGTCAGTGACGCGCTCGCCGGCGGACTCCATGAACGATCGGCCGTAGTAGCGGTTACTCCCATGGACTGCCTCCCCCACCCTGATTTGTAGCGTAAATTCAGCGACGCAACTTTACCCATGCGGCCGGGTTTGTCCATCTCCGCTACACTCCGCCAAGGGTGCACTGAGTGTCCACGGCGAGCGCAAACTGAGCCGTTTCGTCAAACTGAGTCACCGTCTCGCAATACGACGACGCAGAGATCGGCAAATGACTCGCAGTGTCGTCAAGGGCGGGACAAGATTTGAGAACGCCCATTTGGGCATTGTTTGTCATAAACGTGTCTTTTATTTGGAGTTGCTGTGTGGGCGCGATAATTACCGCCCCAACGCTTAACTTGACAACCAAGCGCTGCCCTTGTGGTTGGCGGAAAGAAATTGGCAACCAAAATGACTGCCTGCCGCGAGATGACCTACTGTGAACCGAAGTCAGCCGCTCCCAGCAGGTGAACTCGGCTCTGCTCCCTCCTCTGTTTCCAGCGCACGTACGCCAGCAGCAGCTGCAGCCCGCAGCAGACAAACAGCAGCACGCCTGTGGACGCGTGACACGTCAGTGGTCCGCGAACAGCAGCTGCTGCTGTTCACAGCGCACAAACGGTCTCAGTGCCCGCAGTGCGTGCCGTTAGAACGCGACGACGGCACTCAAGTCCTCCGTCAAGTTACACGAGATATTTGACGGGCCCACACTCGTGGGTTGACTTCGTATCTCTTGGAGAGCGCCAGGCTCTCTCAAGTTTTGAGCTCCACCCGCCCCAACAACAAACAAACCACGACGCTGAAAGTTTTAGCGAGTGCTGCAAGGAGAAATCCTGCGGTACGCCGATGCTCCTTGCGAAGTTCCAATCTTGTTTCAGTACTCATCCGTTTACGCAGTCAATCAGAAGCACAACGCGGCTGTAGTCACGTGCCCAGTGACGCAAATAAATAAGCAAGGCTCAAGCGTTCATCTGACCGCCTTTATGCGATACATTTGGCGCCACGCCTCCCATAATAACAGAATGCTTTGCTCGCTAACGCCTGGCGTCACAGCCATGCTGTGACGTCATGTTTTTGCACGCATTGAGCATGAAAAAGCGTGGATGGAGTGACGTCATATCCACTAGTGGTGTGGCGGGATCGGGAGCGATGTGACGTCGCCCTGTAGTGGTGTTTAGCGCGGTGGCGTGGTGACGTCACGCCAGAAGGCCCGATAACGTCACTTAATGTGAAGTCGCACGGATAGACCCGATGACGTCACTTCAAATGACGTTACGCCAGAAGATACGCTGTCTCGTCCACCGGTATAGCGGAGCTTGGTGTCACATCTCGTCCACTGCTGCGGCGCGGGCGGTCACATGATCACATCATCACATGATCACATGACACACCGCCGCTGAGGTGAAACACAACGCCGCCGTGACGTCATACCTGTCGCCCGCGTGACGTCATACCTACCCCACTGTGACGTCATACCTGCCGCCGCCGTGACCGTCATGCGGTGGTGTGGCGTGAGCAGGACGAGCAGTGCCAGCAGGGCGTACACCAGAGCCCGCCGGATCGGGCCCAGACTCTGCACCGCCGGCCACTGAGGGGCAGCCGGGCTCGACCTGATGACGCACAGCTCGTTAGAGCACACTCAAAAGTATGCGACAAGGCTAATAACTGGATCTCGCCAGAAGGTATATACTTGTACTGGATGTCGTTTTTGTTTGTTTTTGTTTTGCTATTTGCGTTAAGGAATAAGGCGGGCTAATTAAATTTGGGGACCAAGAACTTCTAATGAAAACTAAACCTCCGAGCATGGCGATTGCGCGCACGCCGTTTAGCGGGAGAATGTGTCATTGTGACCAGATTATCCGTTTCTTTAATAGATACTTGGTTTCAAAAGACATGCAACTAAACACGAACTGGAGAGAGCCGAAATCTGCCCCACTCTCTTCCTCTCTTGTTTTCTTAAATAGCATCGACACCAGGCGATATCTGGAAACGGGTTCTTCTAACAAGGGAGCGAGACGTCAAGTTAATAAAACAAAACAAAATCGCTGCGTCTGTTTAGCTGCAGCCTGTCAAAGTCGAGTGCTCGTTCGCCGCGATCTCCGCTCGGCTGCATCGAGAGCTCCAGCGAACAGCAGCTGCCGTCGAACCACGGCACGTGCTATCTATCTAACCGTAGAGGTATCGCGACGGCCTGATTTAGACGCTCTACTTTGCTTTCAGATGCCTTGCTTTGGTAATTTAAATGCAACATTTAACGAACCATTAGCTTAATTGACCGTTGCAACTCACCACGCCGCTCAATTACCCGTCGCAAGCCGGCTTTCCCGATTACTTGAAAACGCAAGAAAGCGGTGACAAGGGGAAATATTGAACGCTTCTGCCTTAAGGCGTGTGCGTGGGTTACCAAAAAATTTCACTCGTTTTCAAAGTAAATCTTGTCAGAGCCATCAACCCAACCCATTTTATCCATGTGATGTCATTAAGGAGGGTTGCAACTCGACATTGATTAACCCAAATGTTTGTTAGTTACATCACGCCTGTTTTTCTGTAAGACACCATTCCCTGTTAGAGATTGTCTCGCTGGTTGTTTGTCGGTTGTTCGCGTGAATGTCCCAGATATTTTTGACCAGCAAGCTCGCTTGATCCGACCCATGCATGATTCGATTAGGGACTTCGCTTGATCCAACCATCGCAGGATTCTTTTAGCGACCTTATTTTACCCTGATCCACAACCGTCCGCACTCAGTATTCAAGACATCGACATCCAGGTTGCATTGAAAATTGTATGGCTTTCCTGCTCTCGGGTTCAGAGGTAGCGAGGGCGGGTTTCCCCTCCCCTTCAGAGGCTGTCGCTCTGGCAGAATGGAAGGCGTGTTAGCTATCTGATGCCATGAATTGGCCACATGACTGATGATAATTGAAAGAAGGCAATCGACGCCTCGCCGAAGTTAAACACCAAGGTCAATAAGACGCGCGCACTATCTTATCAAGGTTACACCAATGTCAATAAGACGCCCGTACTATCTTATCAAGGTCACACCAAAGTCAATAAGACGCCCGCACTATCTTATCAAGGTCACACCAATGTCAATAAGACGCCCGTACTATCTTATCAAGGTCACACCAAAGTCAATAAGACGCCCGCACTATCTTATCAAGGTCACACCAATGTCAATAAGACGCCCGTACTATCTTATCAAGGTCACACCAAAGTCAATAAGACGCCCGCACTATCTTATCAAGGTCACACCAAGGTCAATAAGACGCCCGCACTATATTATCCACGCACGGCGGGGTAATCCATTCGGTCAGTATCAACCAGCCTTAAACTCAAGCAAACCTTTGAGGACATCGCAACCAAACCCAGTCTCCGGGACCGATTGTATCACATGATATCAACCAGGTGTGCTATCACATGGTGTGTTATATTCGATTGATGTAGTTTCACCCTCTCTCTCCGCCAAGCGCTCAGGACGACCGGCACTCACAGGCGGGGTTTACTTGTTCGAAGCGCGGTATCCGTTTCGCATAATTACATTGAAACAAGCAGAATCAAACATCGAGCCTTTGCGCAAATGACGGTGTTACCGTGTACCTTTTTTGAAGCGAAGCCCAATCTCTTTAAAGGTGGTGTTCCACATTTGAGAACATTGAAGCAAATTTGAGATACAATGAAATAACCTTTTTTTACTATTGGCATGCTTTAAAGTGGAAAAGACGGTTCTAGACAACACCGTTTTTTTCTGTTAAGTAAATATGGATTCCCAATGCGTCATTGTTTGATTACGTCATCGTACCATGAACAACATTGATTGAGATGAGAACCAATTGACCGCCGTTATGTCTGGAAGTCGTGCTCACAAACGCCTAAAATGAGCGACTCAACAATTACTTTTTTCCTGACCTTGATCACAGCGTGCCTAACGGAATGACAGAATTTGAATGGCATGATACTACTATGACGCCATGGAGCCCTGGTGACCTTGCAATGGTCTCCCCGAAACAGTCTACGCATATTCGCGGGCATTTAGCTCAGAAACTAGAAGTGTTTAGGCCTTAAGAAGGGCAGTGCCGTGAGCCGCACCGAATGGTCTACAAAATGCTTGTTTCAATTTAAACCACATACGAATGTGCAGCACTGCCTTGAACTCTAAAAGTTTTTGAGACAGGGGCCTTGCTAGGCATCAAAAGTTGAGGATATCCAGGCTTTAGAAAGTGTTTTGTTTCACGCAGCGTCTTTGGCGTAGTGTTACAGTTGATCCAAATTGCAGCACTCGCCCCCTTCGTCTCTCTCCACTGAAGTGCGGGCCATGCTTCGCAGAGAGGAGCCTCATTACCTTAGAAAGAAAACGTCCCGTCTACTGATCAATGCCGGGCTTGCCTGGCAGACTAATCCGCCCAACACTGCGGTATTGCGGCACAGTCTACGTAGGATACCGCCCCGACAGTCGCGGTCGGAGCCGGGGCATGCGGGTGATCCCCGTTCTCGGCCAGCCATGCAGGTGCTCATCTTCCCAGCTCCTATTCAACGATGAGGCAAGGAAGGTTGATGTGAGAGTCAGCGAAGTTTTCCAATGGTTCCATCGCAAATACGGTTTTTGTCTGTGTTTTTGGTATGTGCAGGACATCTGGTAGGACTGTAGACATTTTGATATGTATGTGCATGATCAACTGCGTACCACTGATTTTATTATAAGCATCAGAATAAGCTCGTGTACAAAGAACTTTCGGAATCAAGTCGTCTACAGATTGTCAACGCCAAATATGCTTCTCGAGGATGCCGAATATCTGACTGCATGCCGAAACTTTGCTGTCAATATTTACTTATATTCATTTTTGAAGTAACATTATTTGCATGTAGTTGATCAAACGTGTCCTTAAGGCAGTGGTTTGCTGTGAGCGGTTTCTGAGCGGTAGAAGTGTTTGAGGGCCATTCAGTTCAAAGGGACCAGAAAAGTACGCACTGGGCTCGACGGAAGCGACGCAGATAATTTGAAGTATTTGTGTTATTATTTGGAGTATTTTTAATAATATTAATATTATTAGTAATATATTATTATTGTTACTATATATCTTATCATACGTTATTAGTAATATTAGTGGTAATTGTTAATAATACTAATATTATTATGATTTGGAGTAATTTTGTGCCCAAGTGGCCCTCAACATTGAAACGTAAAACTTGACAACGCTTCAAGGTTAAAACTGCCTGTTCAAAGCTTAGATTCCCGCCGCATATTGCATGTGTCACAGAAATAAAACCAGGATATATCTTGCAGCCAGTTGAGCCAAGATGCTT